GTGCCTGCCCTGGGGGTGGAGGCTTAACTTACTATGCCACAGTGATGGCCCTGAGTTTCCTATTTTCTATATCTTTCCCAGTATTTGTTACTGTCTTTTTAATAATAGCCATTCTGATTAAGGATAATATGATGTCTCATTGTGATTTTGATTTGCATTTCCTTGACAACTAATGATGTTGAGGGCTTTCTCCTAAATGTATTAGCCATTTGATTTTCCTATCTTGAATAATGTCTATTCATATAATTTTCCCACTTGTAAAATTGAATTTTTTAAATATTTTTAAGACTCTTCATATATTCTAATTAGTCATTTGTCATATGAATAGTTGTGGAAAATTATCTATTCTGTAGCTAATCTCTTCATGGTCTTGTTTTCTTTGCTGTGCAGAAGCTTCTTAGTTTGACATAATCTCATTTATCTGTTTTTCTTTTGTGTTCTGCTAGTGGGTTATATGTGTTCACATGGTTTCATAATGCCAGCCAGTTACTTTTCCATCGCATCTCTGCATAGAACTCTCTCAAACATCTTTTGTGAGGCCAATCTTGTAGCAATGAATTAACCCAGGTTTTGCTTATCTTGAAATGTCTTTATTTCTCCTTTTATGAAGGATAGCATTGTTAGGTATGATATTCTTCAGTGGCAGCTCCTTTTAAAAGCATTTTATTTCAGAATAGCTTTAAATTTGCAGTGCAAAAACTGTGGAATATAAATATAATTGGGTTCCTTGAAGGAATCATGTTAAATGGCTTTTTCATATTTTTCATGTTGATATCTGCACATGAGCAATTGTCTCTCTTGCTCCTAAAGGGTAACTTTTATGGTAAGAGTCTTTTGTGTTTTTGAAACCATGTCTTTGGGTGTCGTATGCTACACTAGATACCATAGTTTAATCTCCTTGAACCTCATTTACTGTAAGCAATGCCAGCAGCACTGGTGGTCTAGGGCACTGCTCTGTGTTAGAAGAGTCCCATGGGTTCAACAGCAACCTGCATTAAGGGTTGTATGAGCACAGGCTTGCAGTCATGCCAGGGTCTTGTGAGTCCTGTGACAGTGACAGTGGTGGGTCTGGGTTGCCTGATGTGTTTGGGTTCTGGTGAAACTGCCCTGAAAGGTGGGAGGAGTCACGAGAATAGGGGGATAGGCCTTAATTCCTAGGGAGCAAGATTCCTAGGGAGCAAGATTCCCCTGCTGTTCTGTACTCCCTGTTCCTTGAAGGGCTAAGCAATGGGTGAGCTGGTGAACTAGAGTCACAATTTCTCTTCTGGGTATCATTGGATTTGTGAGACTGCAGACTTTTCTGCCAATGTGCTGGAATGTTAGTGGGGCATGCACGGTGGGTATAACTAGGGGGTTCTGTACACTAGGACAGTATGGATTCCAACAGAAACTCCTGTCTCAAGATGGCAGTACACTGTTGCAGCCCACTCTCTGGACGTTGGGGTAGTGAGGACATAATGAGAGTTCCTTTTCTGAAACGAAGCTACTGCAGGTATCCCTCTTTACTGGGCTCCAAGCCTATGATGACTGTGGATCCTTCCTATTTAGCTAGGATAACTAGATAGGGATCCCTCTAGCTAGCTAGGATAACTAGCATAAGGACCTTGTGGAGACGAGTTCTGCCAAAGCTCCCCTACTTACCATTCTCCCTGCCATTGGGATACCCTTGGCTGTGGGGTCAAGGTAGGCTTTGCCAGTTGGCTTTGTTTCTCTCTCCATGTTTGCTTCCCAGATCTCTGTAGCCTACAGCATTACTATATTTCCCTTGCTGAGTCCTGGTGCCCTCCCTCAAGCACTCATCTTGAAATGCAGCTATTTATTCGTTGATCTGTTTCGTCTCTGTAGTGGATGAGGCAAGCACTTTAAAGTCACCTTTAATTGGCCAACTTAAAAAAAATACTCCTTTTTTCCTTGTGTCTTAAGACTCTCCACTACAATCCTATTTATATATTTACACTAATTAAGAAAGCCATGGCTATTAAGATGATACATAGACCTTATGTGTGTATTTGTTGATTTATTCATTTGATGAGTTTTTTACTGAATTTTACTATGTGACAAGTTCTACAAACTTGCAAAATAACAATATGTCACAAAAGTGACATTGCCAATACCATATCATCAGAACTTAAGCTTACTTTCTCTGTCTTTGCAGAGAGCAAACATTCCTTCATTAATTCTTTTTATAACTATTTATTTGAGGTGAACAAATTTCATGTGTTTCATTTATATACAGATTTAGGAGCATAGTGATACTTCCTACCCTACCCTCCCTCCCACCAATGCTCCTATGCTCCCATGTCCTTCCTTTCTTATTCTTTCAATTTCTATAATGGCATGCTTTCAGTTTATTTCATAATCATAAGCTTAATCTTCCCTAAATACTCAACAAATTGTAATAAGAAAAAAACCACCCTTCCTCAACAGTAGAGACAAGAGCTGTCAGCAATAATCAAATCTTAAAATGGCAATTTTGCTCATATACATTATAATTTTTCTACAGCTATCATGATTCAGGCAGTATCACAATATTCTTAATTTAATGTATTAAACTTCCACAGAAACATTTTCAGAGAAGAGTTAAAGTCCCCATCCTCCAAGAATCAATAATCAATGGAGGGTAGATTAGAATGTTACAGGAAAAATCAAGATAAAGAAATTATAATATCTATGCTTTGAATCAGAAAAAAATGTATCCAAATCTAGTAAGCATAGTAGCTGGTCTTATTTAGTTATATCTTATCTCCCAGAATCCTTAAAATGTGGTTATCATATGCTCACAAAATGAGAGGAAATAATCCAGAATGATTTCCAGATTTCTGGTTTAGGAGACTGAATATGATGAGGGTGTCAATCAAAACTATAAAAATGACAAGAGCAGTTAGAAGTGAGAAAAGCCAGTGAGCTCTATTTTAGATATATGCCTGTGAGGCATTCAACAAATGTCTATGAAACAGATGTACACAAGTACACTGGCATAGAAGCGCTGCTCCAGAAGCTGGATGGGAGAAATACAGAGTAATACAAGGGATGATTTTAGCACCAAGGAATCGCACAGGAATTGTGGAGGGCAGGAAAAGCACAGAACAGAAGACAGAATCTCAAAGATCTCTAAAATCATAAACATTATTTTTTAGCTTATTTATTTGAAAGGGAAAGTGACAGAGAGGGAAAGAGAGAGAGAGAGGAGAAAGGGAGGGAGGGAGAGAGAGAGAGAGAGAGCAAGCGAGAGAGCCTCCATCCAGTCGTTTACTCCCCAGATACCCATAATAGTCACAAATAGGTTCAAGTCAGGAGTCCCATCCAGGTCTCCTATGTGGGTGACAGCAGTCCAAACACTTAAGCCATAATCCACTGCCTCCAGGTGCATTCGCAGGAAGCTGAATCAGAGTTGAGTGGCCAACACTCCAATATGTGATATGCAGATGTCCCAAGAGGTGGTTTAACCTACTGCAGCACAACAGTAGCTTCTGAAATGTTAATTTTAAACAACAGAGGAAACTGAGAGTTTTGGGATATACATAGAGACAAGTTGCTAAAGAGAAGATAAACTAAGAGTGAATGATGGCAGAAAGAATTTTCAGGGACATTTAATAAAAGGGATAGGTCAGTGTCGTCAAACATCTAAGGCAAAGTAGCTGGACATCAGAAGAATTTAACAGGTTGGTGCATATGAATATCATTGCTGATGTTTTTTCAGAGAACTCTTAAGGAAGTGATGGAATTAGATGTTATATTTTGGTGGGTGAATCATGAGTGGAATAGTTAACGGAAAGCAGATTCTCAGAGGCAGCCAGTATGCTACCTTAGCTTTTCTAAAGTGAACACGGAGCAACATTTGTATGATAATTTGAAGAAATGGTTGAAATCAGTTTGGCTAAAAAGAAAAAATGAAGAGGGGATAGTAGCTGGAGAGACCTGTGCAGATCTGAAGGTCATCTGTTGCTTATAATCTAAGGGTTTAGAAAATGAAGAGAGAAAAGAAAAAATGGAATAGCAAGAGGAAATAATCAGAGAACAATAACACTTGATTGTTTTCTTAAAATAGGATGAGTATACCTGTAGGACTGCTAAGTGACATGTCTCAATCAAATCTTAGTGTAAACATAAATGCATGTTTCAGTTGCAGATATAGAGATAATACTAAAAAAAGGCAAAAACTTTTGTAATAATTTATAACAAATTGGAGCCAATTTTGTGAGCAGTCTATTACTCTTTTACAGATGACAAAACAGCTCTAAAGTAACCTGCCTATGGTAGAGAGGGAGGAAAAATGCGGTTCAGAAAACATCTTATGAAGCCAGTCCTCTCTCCCTTTTGCTGTGCTTATCTTTGATAATACTCATGTAAGCAGAGTTGAATGGCTCATATAATTTCACTGCCTGATCTCAGAATAAGCTAGATTTTGGAAAACAAAGGACTGCAGTCAACAAAATAATGTCTAAGTTTAAAAATTTTTATTTCTATCTTTCCTCAAAAGGCATACACATTTTTTTCTCAAATAGAAGGAATGGAAGACACATTATCTTAGGCATATGTTACAGAGAAGGAAAGTAGCAGAATGTATTACAAAGGACTAAATGCAAAACATGTGTTTTGATGAGTTTTTCCTTTGGACTAATTGTTAAAAGAAATAAGTTGGAAATGAGATTCAAGAATTATTTCTATAAAGTGATACATAATTATATGCTATCAAATTCAGGTATAACTTCTTATATGTCATTTAAAATTTTTAAATATATTGTTTTCTATCTCTTTTCCCCTTAAACACATCCTAGCATCTATTTTATATATGAAATGAACAAAGCATGTCCACATAAACAGAAGACATTGACCTTTATGTCTTTGTATTCGATTAATAAAAGAGCATCATCTAGGAAAAAATGATGGAAAAGTTTTCGTTATACTTGACATTAAAACTGCATTCAGTTTTCTACTGTTGGAACAGGTCTAGCTATCTGTGTATTACAACATCTTTAAAACTTGGAATTAGAAGTAAGAGTTGCCCTGAATTTTTGTTATAAGATGTTGAGATTACAGTAAGAATTTCCATTGCTGGGCTGCCTAGGCACTGGCACTGAAGTGCTGCAGTTGTTGGAGGGGTTAACATTGGAGCCAGTGGCACACATATATTATGGAGGATTCATAAAAACACGACAGTGGAGCTTGGGTCAATCCATTACTGTGAACAAGCAGTGACCAATAGAAAAAGAAGAAGAAGATCCAAGGAGGCTGGGGTAAGCAGTCTTCTGAAGCCCTGTCAGAGTGGAAACAATAGATCAAAAGGTGTTCTTGGTGACCAGTCAGTCACAAGAGAGCCTTTTTTTCTCATAGGCTTGTCAGTACCAAGTAAAAACAAGCTGTTTTAGTCAAAAGTTATCTTTTTATCTTTTTAATTTTTGTTACTATTTGCTGATTTTTTTTTTTTTTTTTTTTTAGCAAGCTTCAGCCCCAGACGCAAGATTCAAGGGTGTATTCCTGGAAGGCAAGGTAACTATTTTGTACTTTTTCAAAATTCTAATGTATCAGATGTTCGATTAAAACTTCAATAAACTAAAGCAAATCCCCACTCTGAAAACAATTTTTTTAATAAGTCTCTGTTGGAAGGTGTCCAGAGTGGTATTCTATAGATGTGGGAAATTTGACAGCTTGCAAGCAGCTTTGCACTTGTCATTTTCTGCAATTTATTGGCAAAATTGAAAGATCAGTGATTCAAAAATAAGCTGCTTTGATCTTTTTCTAAGAAATAATTCACATTTATTTTGTCCTTTTTAACAAATGGTTTTGCCAAATGTGCATTGGTCAAAACATTACTATTTTATATACATTTATACATAGCATATACAGTATAAATATATGATTATATGTAAAGCATAAATATATATATATATTTCCTGCTTAAGAAGTTATTTGTATTTATACTCTTTGATGACATCAGTGGGAAGAGTTATGTGTTTTAAATGTATCAAATGTCAGTACGTTATAATTTTATCCAACTGATGAATGATTATGGTTGATATGAAACGTATAAAGGACAGTTTATAATTCTTCACTAAGCAACTTTGTTCTGTACTTATAATTATAGACATGTTTTTGTTCCCAAAATAAAACTTACCTGAGAAGTTCAGCAATAGCAAAAGAGGTTAATCAGAACTTTTCTTCAGGTCCTAGAACCGTCCATCACAATAAACTGTTGAAATATTCTTTAATTTTTGCATTTCTTTGTTTCAAGGGCCAAAAAGGTTGGAAATCTCATCCAGATGTTCTTCTCATTTAGCAGTAAAAGTAAAAGCATATGCCTACTTCTTAGGAACAGCACACACTCTCAATTTGAGTTATTAAAAATCATTTTTATATTTTTGCATTCAACTACTGGCTTTGGTTAAGTTCCCTGAATTAAACAGCTTGAAATGGAAAAGCACTTAGTGCTGCTAAAATTTGCTTTCCATTTCTCAGCTTTCATTGTGATTGGGTTAAAACCAGAGAGCTGCAAGTTGGTGAATTAGTTTCAGTGTTTGCAAAATACCTTGCCTAGGATGCCTACTAAATTAATATGTATTAATTGATATCTGCATAAGAAATGTTGATGTGTTTTCACCTTTCCTTTGAAAAAGCAATGCCCATTGATCATTTTGAGGCACACAATTATCCGAACGTCAAGATCTTCAAACACACAACAGTTATGTCTCTTATTTTATAGGTGGTATAATGGCAACTACAATCTGTTTCGTCATCTGGGTATTATTCATAACAGGCAGCGTGTGGACTCAAAGTGTGAGACAGGCCTATGAGGGAAATGATCCAGAAGACTGGAGTGCGGATGACTTTGATTGTCCCATGGAGTGTTTCTGTCCCCCTAATTTTCCTACTGCTTTATACTGTGAAAATCGAGGTCTCAAAGAAATCCCTGCTATTCCATCAAGGATCTGGTATCTTTATCTTGAAAACAACCTGATAGAAACCATTCCAGAGAAGCCATTTGAGAATGCCACCCAACTGAGATGGATAAATCTAAACAAGAACAAAATAACCAACTATGGAATTGAGAAGGGAGCCCTAAGCCAGCTGAAGAAACTCCTTTTCTTATTTCTGGAAGACAATGAATTAGAGGAAGTACCTTCTCCACTGCCAAGAAGTCTAGAACAATTACAGTTAGCCAGAAATAAGGTATCTAGGATTCCTCAAGGGACCTTCAGCAATCTAGAGAACCTGACCCTTCTTGATCTACAGCACAACAAATTGTTAGACAATGCCTTTCAAAGAGATACCTTTAAAGGGCTGAAGAACCTTATGCAGCTTAATATGGCTAAGAATGCCTTGAGAAACATGCCACCAAGACTGCCAGCCAATACAATGCAATTATTTTTAGACAACAATTCCATTGAAGGAATACCAGAAAATTACTTTAATGTGATTCCTAAAGTGGCCTTCCTGAGGCTAAATCATAACAAAATATCAGATGCAGGTCTCCCCTCACGTGGCTTTGATGTGTCCTCGATTCTAGATCTCCAGCTGTCTCACAATCGCCTCACAAAGGTCCCCCGAATCAGTGCTCATCTACAGCACCTTCACCTTGATCACAACAAAATTAAAAGTAAGTAACCCTCAGGGTGTGCCCCTCACACAAATGCTGAGTCATTACATTTATTCTATATATTCTTTAGCAATAGCAGCTGTGCCCTTCCCTCCCAACTAATGTGCCCTTAGGGTTTTTAAGTGTATTTTCATTTTTCAATATTAAATCATGTCTATTTGCAGTTTTAATGAACCAAGAATTCCAAGTCTTCAAACTGAATATTGGAAAGCGAACTTAATCATATACAGAAGGCTACTGTCTATTGGATAAGTTAATGTCTGTCTTCTTTTCCTAGAGTTTCTGCTATTTCTACCTCACCATAGGACAGCTGATACCTGAAACAGTTCTAATCAGAGTTTCTAATTATCGCCCCTAATAAGAGGGAGCCTCTCAGACTTCAATGTGTACAACTTTGTGACTCCACCCCCAGAATTTCTAACTCAGTAGGTCTGGGATTTTCATTTCTAACAGGTTCCCAGGTGATGGTTGATTCTGATGCTCTGGGAACCACATACTGAGAACCACCCATGTTTAAGATTTTACTTAATTGAAATGGAAACAAATGTCCTTGGAAGCTGGTAATACCCTAGGATTTAATGGCAATAAATACGGTATAATACTCTGTTTTCCTGAAAAGAGACTTGATTAAGAAAGTGAGGGATGAGTGAAAAGTCTTTGGAGATAGAGGTATCATTAGGGAAGAAGTCTTTATAGAAAGCAGATGCTGGAGTTATTAGAAATAAATCTGACATCTTCACAATTCTGCCCAAGGCCAAGCTAGACCTGCTGTAGTAGAGGGATATATCTTTGTCCAGCCACATGTATAGATATCTAACCTTGCACCTATCTATGCATCTGTAAGCACAGTGCAAGTTCTTCAGAAAAGCAATCTTGGAGAGTTTTCTCCTGGACAACCACTCAAAATGTGTTCCTAAAATGAAATTCACATAGAATGATTTATAAAAAAAGTAAGACTGATAATAATGCAACCATGAACTATTTTTCCACTGGGTACTGCAGTTACTCAATTTTTTTTTGGTAACAGCATACTTGGGCTTCAGATCCAGGAATTGAATGGCAGGCTGCCGCCAGAGAAGTTAATTTTTCCATGGTGATGAAACATCTTGTTTTATCTGTAGTCAAAAGCAAAAGAAGAAATAGAAATAAAAAAGTTTGTAGATTAACCCATTTAACTGAAGCAAATAACACAACAGCTAATAAAGACCTAAATAACAGTTATTTCCTAATGAGAGTTCTACACTTCTGCGGGCACATTCCTTATTTGACAACAAAAGCTCTGCAGACAATTGATGTGGAAAGATAATTTCACATGATTCTCACAGAGTCCTGCTTGTGAATTAGAAATCCTATACTGAGCATTTGAGAATGAGGGTGTTTAGGAGTGAAGTAAAAATACTCAAAACATGCTTGAGAAGTACAGGACTATGTCCTTCCTCCATTTAATTTCAGAGGGGTTCCCTAAGTGTTTTCTCATTTATTCCTGTTTGGCAGTCATTGTACTGGGCATGCATCATAATCAACAGTAGGGATTATTAACATACATTGCTGGGTTTCTGACTCAGGAGGTTTGAAATGAGACCTAATGGTTTAGTTCCCATGTAGTACTGCTGCTACTCATCCGTGGTTTAAGAAACCCCGATTAATCATCACAAGAACTTGTGTGATATGATCAGGAATTTCTAAGGAGAAACAGAAGCTCAGCGAGGTAAGGATAGTTCTCCAGGGCAGAAGAGTGCATTCAGCAGGGAGGACTTGGACCTAGGACTTTCCATCTTGTTTTTTCCACTCATGGACTATGATAACAGCACTTTTCTTCAATCTGGAAAAATAAGAATTTAGAAAAAAAACATCAATAGTGTTCAACAACAACACAGATTGAATTATTTGCTTCTTAATGTAGATATCAATGGTTGGCTTTTCTGTATTCCAAGAAAATAAATGTAAAATAAAAATCTATCTGGCCGACATTGTTGGCTTATAAACTATACCATACTATGTGATACAAATGTTAAAACACTTAGCTCTTCTTGTCATATAATCTACTCTTGCTGTTAGCAAGTGATTTCCAAGAAACATACCCTTTATATGAAGTCCACCGACTTTACAAGAGCAGGTAGTTTTCTCAAGCAATATGTTTATTTCTTCTAAAACCTCAAGAGACTTCAACTTTATTGAACATTGTTATCTATTCAAATACTTTATATTCTGGAGTTCCCTGAGAAATGCTACAATTAATTTATAAAAAGAACACTTATTTCTCACATTTCCTTGATTGAGATATACATTGATTATGGGCATGAGGTTGATAACATCAGAAGTGGCATGCTGTCTCTAGTACACAAGGGGTTCTACATAGTAAGAGACAGGATTAGCCTGGGTCTCACTGGTGCCACTTATTTGCTAAAATAATTTGTGTACATTTCCCCCTTTTTAAACCACTACTTCAATAATGCCCAGATGAGAATACTAACACTGACTGATATAGCCTGTGTATGGCATATGTGAAAGCCTAACTTTATAACCACAAAACTACTATTCAAAACTGAATCATTATTTTTTTCAAGTTAAAACAATCACAGAATGGCAAAAGGTCAGAGCACAACAACCTTGGTGCAAGGGTAAAACCGTTCAATATGTTGCATTAACGCACAAGTCCACACAGATGAGGGTATTGTTATAAGTTAAGTGAGTTTAATCAGAGATGATCTCTAGCCCAAAATAGTTCCAAAAAAGCAATGGTAAGGCAGTCTGTGGGTTCATAGTTGAAGTGAGACTTTGCACACTTTCCTTCATTTTGCTAGTTTAACTGCCCTTCCTTTCTGGATGCTTCTAAATCTTTGAATGGTTATTAGGGCTGAGAGCTCTGACTCCAAGCAAGTACACAATTTTTCCAATCCTAACCATGTGAAAAGGTTGATAGGATGTTTCCAGACTTGAATTATTTGTAATTCAATTTTTGGCAAATGTTTCTTTCTAATTAAATACACTTACATGTGAAGATTCAAGGTTATTTTCTGTACCATGTATATAAAGTTATGTTAATTATCCTTCTAAAATCTTATGCTCTACTATTCTGCATATTTTAGGGTGATTTCAAGTACTCTGTTTCTGTGTAAGATTACTTTTCTAACTCCCCTTTCATCCATCATCCGTTCATCCATCCATACACCTACCCATGTACCTAGCATTAATTCAATACCAGGTTTGAAATATTATCTCCACCTCTACTGCCCTCATTATGACCTGCTATGCCATAGTAATCTAAACATGCATTATGTAACCTGCAAAGTTAAAAGACAATGATATGTTGATATGCCCTTATTCCTATCACAGATCTTAACAATATTTCCTTTGTAGTGCTCCGTATTAAGTATAGCAGAACATAAAGTGAGATGACTACATATGTGTGTGTGTATGTTGCACAATTTTTCAGTTACTTTCATAAAGAGAAATATCTAATTTCCACAAAAGTCATTTGTATTTCTATTACTTTCATCCATATGTCACTAGGTCTTCCTTTAGAACCACTTCCTCCTCTAACTCTCTTATGTTACAGTTCATTCATTCATGCTGTCTTTGCCTCCTTAGGTGTGAATGTCTCGCTAATATGTCCTACCACCAGCACACTGCACACTGAACAAGATTCGTTCATCCATGGACCTCAGCTTAGCTACCTCCGCCTGGATGGAAATGAAATCAAGCCACCAATCCCAATGGATTTAATGACCTGCTTCAGGCTTCTTCAGGCTGTCATTATATAAACACATTTTCACTAATCAAAAATAGTTTTAGGGAGCTAAGGTTGCTGACTTATATAATTTGGTTACCATTCATAGATTTAGAAGAAAAATCACATTTTCATTTGCTGTTAGCCACTATTTTAATTTGTGTAGCTTGTTTTTATTTTCTATTCAAAGATGCTTTTGCCAATGACATACACGGCTTTTCAAAAAATTGAGTTTTTTTCTTTCCGTAATTAATAAAACAGACACAGAGTTAAGATAGTTTATCAGCTCAAAGATAATTCCTTTTATCTCTTTTACGGCTTATTAATTAATATCAAATATTAATTACTTTGTTATGCAATGAAAAGGATTTGTGTATTTTCAAAATTACTTCTGCAGCTATTATATTTACAGTATAAATACAATCAACAAATAGATTAAAATAAAATGAAAAAATGAGATATATCTTTATTGTGATATGTTGAAATAAATACAAGTTGAATAATCAGTTTGGACTAGCAAGCTTGGTATTTAGCTCACCAGTGGGTATGAAGTGAGACAAGTTCTAGTCATTTAATACCAAACAAAAAGAGCAATAGTGATTTCTAGTTACTTATTCCTTTTAACTGTTTTTCTGAAATACACTTTCTGAAGCAATTATACAACTCCTAATTTTGCATTTATTAAAATGCATTTCTCACAGAATCTTAGTCCTTTAGCACTCAAAATCCATTTGAATTAGAAATTATTCAGCTGTTATAGTTGTCAGCATTTTTGTATTTTTCTGAATAAAAAGAGTGATTGTTTTTAACAAAACAGAAGTGATATTTATTTCAAGGGATATTAATCACAAGCTTCATTTAAAACATTTTAATAAAAGTGTTATAATTAGCAGTCACTTATATTTTTCTAGCATGAATATATGCAAATATGTTTTCCACCACATTATTTCTCCTTTTCTTTTAAACATTTTAATTATTCATTTTTATTTAGTTGGAAAACAGAACTGGGGTTGCCATAACGACATAGCCGGTTAAGCCACTACCTGCATCCCATGTGAGCGATGGTTAGAATCCCTGCTGCCCAGCTTCAGATCCAGCTCCCAGTTAATCCACCTGGAAAATCAGCAGAGGATGGTTCAACTTCTTGGGGCTCTGCCACTTATGTGGGAGACTTGGGTGGAAATCTAAGCTCTGACATCAGCCTGGCCCAGCTGGGGAGTGAACCAGTGGATAGATCTCTGTCTCTCTGTCTCTTGTTCTCTCTCTGTAACTCTGCCCATGAAAAGCAGATAGTCAAATACCTGTAACAGCAGGGCTGAGTCAGGTTGAAGCCAGGGACCAGAAACTCAATCCAGGTCTCCTACAATAAAGGTAAAGGACTCAAGTACTTGATCCATCACCTGCTGTCTCCCCTGGTGTGCATTAGCATGGAACTAGAGTTGGAAGCAGAGTCAGGAATCCAACCCAGCCACTCTGATATGGGATGCAGGTGTCAAAAGCAGCATCTTAACTGCTATGTCAAAAGTCTGCTCGTTTTCCCGTTTTCTCCCAGTAAATATAAGAAAACATTTGTATCATAATTACTTGATTTAAAATATCTGTTTCTTATGAGTTCAAAAACCAGGATTTTCTTATGTAATAAAGTACACTTCAGCATGCTAATTTTATAGGATTTATTCTACAAATAATAAATATTCCACACAGACTAATTGATGCCTAACAGCATTCTGAAAAAAAAAAAAACTAAAAAATTTGATATATTTAGAAATAAGATCATATACACTTGTCAAACACTAAGTTAAAGAAAATCCAGCAGGTTATTTTACTCCCAAGCATCTCAGAATTTTAATTGCTATTCTGTAACTTTTATGCCACAAGAGGAGAATATAATGTGCAATAATGCCTATTGATGTTCACACCAAAAATTATTGGGTAACGTGGGAGAAGAACCAATTAACATACATTCTAGCTGAAGACAAGAATCAAACTAATTGACGCTAGAATAAGAATTAACTTTAAAATGTTTTAAAGCAAGAAATATATTTATAAAATTTATTTCATTATGAAATATTATGTCATATTAAGTTATGTCATAAAATATAGATAATCAGATAGCACTAGAATGAGAAAAAAAAATATGTGTACGGTTTTGTTTTCCATGGTTTCAGTTACCTGTGCTCAACTGTGATCCAAATATACTAAGTGGAAAATTCCAAAAACAGAAGCTCAGAGCAAGGTGCTCTGAATTGTGTAAAGAAGTCTTGCCCCATACCACTCTATCCTACCCAGGGCGCGGACCATCCTTTGTCCAGGTGAACCCTGCTGTATGCACCTACTGTTTGATAGTTACTTAGCAATCTTGGTTATCAGGTCAACTGTCAGTATTGCCATGCTTGTGTTCAAGTAGCCTTCATGTGGCACCCTCATATTATGCCACAATGCCAATATTGTTCACCTGACTTCATTTCATCACATGACATTGGATCATCTTATGTCATCATAAGAAGGGTGAGTACAGTACAATGAGATATTTCAAGAAAGAAACCACATTAAAATGACTTTTAATACAGTGTATTGTTATAGTTATTCTCCTTATTATTATTTATGGTTGTTAATCTCTATTGTTTCTAACTGATAAACTAAATTTTATCATAGGTAAGTAGGTGTAGGGAAATACACATGCAGTGTTCTGTGCTACTGGAGGTCCCATATTCCCACTAGGGGTCTTAGAAGGTATCTCCCACAAATAAGGCTTAGAAGAATTTTCCTCTCTTGGAACACCACCTTCCATGCACTTCCAGTAATACAGAAGTTCTCTGAACCTATCCTTTAGGGTTTTTAGGGAAGCCTAATTTTGAAGGCATGATTGATTATACCATGAGCCATTGCTGGCTCACTCAGTTTCAGATCCTCTTCCCTCCCTAGAGATCGGGGAGCAGGGATGAAAGTTCCAAACTTCCAATACCAGGTTGATTCCCCTGGCAGCCAGATCCCATCCTGAGGCTACCTAATAACTGCCTCATTGGAACACAAGGTGTTCCTATTACCCAGGAAATTGGTGGGAATGCAAATTTGTTAAGCCACTATGGAAGTCAGTTTGGAGATTCCTCAGAAACCTGAATAGAACCCTACCATTCAACCCAGCCATCCCACTCCTTGGAATTTACCCAAAGGAAATGAAATTGGCAAACAAAAAAGCTGTCTGCACATTACTGTTTATTGCAGCTCAATTCACAATAGCTAAGACCTGGAACCAACCCAAATGCCCATCAACAGTAGACTGGATAAAGAAATTATGGGACATGTACTCTATAGAATACTATACAGCAGTCAAAAACAACGAAACCCGGTCATTTGCAACAAGATGGAGGAATTTGGAAAACATCATGCTGAGTGAATTAAGCCAGTCCCAAAGGGACAAATATCATATTTTCTCCTTGATCGGTGACAACTAACTGAGCACCAAAGGGGAAACTTGTTGAAGTGAAATGGACACTATGAGAAACAGTGACTTGATCAGCTCTTGTCCTGACGGTTGATGCACAATGTAATACTTTATCCATTTTAGTATTTTTTTTTGTTCTAGTACCATTGGTTGAACTCTGTAATTAACACACAATTATTCTTAGGTGTTTAAGTTTTAACTGAAAGGTGATCCCTGTTGGGAATTTGGAAAACATTATGCTGAGTGAAATAAGCCAATCCCAAAGGGACAAATACCACTTGTTCTCCTTGATAGGTGACAACTAACTGAGCACCAAAAAGGAAACCTGTTAAAGTGAAATGAACACTGTGAGAAACGGTGACTTGATCAGCTCTCACCCTGACTGTTGATGAGCAGCTTAATATGTTATCCCTCTTAGTATCTTTTTTGTTTGTTCTACTTAATACTTTTGGTTGAATACTGTAATCAATACACAATTCTTCTTAAGTGCTGAAACTTAACTGAAAAGTGATCACTGTTAAATATAAGAGTGGGAATAAGAGAGGGAAGAGATGTGCAATTCGGGACATGCTCAAGCTGACTTACCTCAAACGGTAGAGTTAGAAACATACCAGGGGATTCCAATTCAATCCCATCGAGGTGGCATGTACCAATGCCATCTCACTAGTCCCAGTGATCAATTTCTGTTCACAATTGATCATAATGATAGGACTAAGAACCAAAGGGATCACATAAACAAGAATAGTGTCTGCAAATTCCAAGGATTTTAAGAACTCTGTCTCAGATATTTTATTATCCAGAAGATTACAAAGTTTTAGGATCTCTGTGTCAGGTTCAGGGTCAGGTATATATATTTCTTATCACAATATGGATGTTTGATATATATATATATATTTAAAATATAGAGTGCTCTATGAAATATGCATTACCTGGCAAGAGTTGAAAGTTTATCGGTTACAGTTAGGACTATATATCATACAGAAAGTGTTCATTTTTTTCTCAAAATTAACCACAAATGTAGGTAGAGAATGTACTAAATGCCAAGCTAGTGAACCACAGAGTAATTATTGAATCCAAAAGAAGAAAAAGCCTTTTTTAAAAGGATTTCTCCAGCAGATCAGACAATTTTACAAATACAAATACGTATGGTACAGCAGGTTAAGCCTCCACTCGGGATGCCTGCAGCCCATATCAGAGTGCAAATTGTAGTCCTAACAACTCTGCTTCCAAACCAGCTTCCTGCTAAGGGGTCAGGGAAGCAACAGGCGATGGCACAACGACTTGAGTCTCTGCCACCCAACATAGGAGGCAGAGAGAGAGTTCCCAATTCCTGGATTCAGCCTGGCCCATGGGCATGGGGGTAATGAGGAGAGAACCAGCAGATAGAAGATCTCTTCCTCTTTTTCTCTTTCTCTATCCCTCCTTCCATCTCTCTCTCCCTTTTTCACTCTTACTTTCAAATAAGTAAATAAAAAAGTAGATCTTTTTAAAAATGGTACCACATTACTTTACAAAAGAATAAAAAAAGGCAAATGTTGGAACTGATCCAGGTTACATGTTTTTAGTTTGGGTACAAAGGAGGGGTGACAAAGTGGGGCTGCTGGAACATCATGTTGAATTTGGATAGTGAAAGAAATGAAACCATGAGAGGATGGATAACTGAAATAAATAGCCTACAGATTCAATGAGATGAGGCATGAGTGTGAGGGGAATTAAAGTGTATGTGAGCTCAAAGAAAAGGAGTGACCTGGGCCTATGATTTCGCAGTTTCGAATGTCTGAAGTGACCCGATGCTGAGAAGTTTCTGGGTGTGATAATTGGAAAGAACTGCCAAACTACTGAGGAAGGAAAAGTCACCAAGGCCAACAGGTCAAGGAACTGTGATTTTGTACAAACGTCAAATGTTAGTTTTCACAGTTTTTTTTTTTTTTTTTTTTGAGCATCCTGGAGAGAAAAGTTGTCATAAAATGATGACATTTTTGAACACAAATAGTTGAAATATCCTCAGTGTAATTGCTGAATGACAGATACAGGACACAACCCCAAGAAATCTGGCTTAAGAGCCCCTTCTTTTAAACATTGTATTATACTGCTTCTAAAAAATATGACTCTATAGTTGAAATAAATAATCTGAGATAACACATACATATCCATAGCATTTTATATTATTAAAATATCAGCTTAAAAAACATTATGTCCTATTGAATGATAGTTTGCACAATATCTGAAGCCTTATATATACTGAAGGTAATTTATGATTTAGCAAAGCAGAAAAATGTCATAATGCCAAATCTCTACAAAGAGGTTTGTTCTTTTTGCATCTGAGACAGATCTCAAAACATTGTGCTGAAAATATTTCTATACTGAGA